CTTTCTTTCTTTTCTAAGTATGAATTATTTCTTGCCATGATGGAGCCAACTCACTACTTGCAACTTTGCTTTGCTCTCCATCATCATGTCTTACAGTTTGATTGTTCCAATTAACTTTTTTTTTCTCTGTTCTGCATCACTGAACAAGGATAATATAGTTATTTGATTGCTAGCTTTAAATGCTACCTGTTAAAACAAAACAAGAAATCATTTCTGCATCATTGCACTTGGACATCAGTAAAACTATTATTTCAAGCTTGTAAAGTTATTTGAGTGGAGACAAATAAATTTAGTTGAATCTCAGGTCACGCTGTTGTGTGATTTGCTGTATTGWCATTTAAAATGAGTGTTTACAGAATGGGATAAAAAGTGATGTAAAGTGTTGACTTACTGCTGCAGAACATGATATGTTTGTTGGTGCCTTAATAACAAACAACCCACATATGTCACTGAAATAACTTGAAACAGACTGAAATAATTTTAAGAAAAGAAATTCTGAAAATCAAGGAATCAGTTAGTGTTGAGTTTTGGTTCAAAAGATCATAGTAAAAAAATGAATGGAACTGGCCTTGACAAAAGATATGGTGCCCATAACTTAATGCTGTGTTGCACAAATTTAAGACAACCAAGTGATTCCTGAAGCTGTATCTAAGACTTCGCACCTGTCCACACATATTTTGTTTTGCTCCTTGTCGGCAAACTGTTCCTGCTCAAATGTGAAGTTCCTTCTCCAGGCTGAAGGTTTCAGCTCTTTCCACAGATGTTCAACAGGATTTAGATCAGGGTTCAGAGGGCCACCACAATACTCCAGTGTTTTGTTTTAACCCTTCTTTGTGTGTTTTGGGTTATTATTCTATTGGAGGACTCATGACCTGCGACTGAAATCAAGCTTTCTGACATTGGGCAAAACATTTCACGTCAGAATGCCTTGATAGTTTTGAGATTTCATTGGACCCTGTGCCAAATGCAGCACTGCAGTACCCTGACCCAGTGATTCCCAAACAGGGGTGCGCAAGCATATTACAGGTGGTACGTGGAAAAATTTCCCAGGTGTGTAAAAAAAATAATACAAATAGGACTGAGATATGTATGTATGGCCCTATGATTTCCACAAGGTGGAAAATGCAAATGGAATCACAAAATGGAATCCTGTAAAATGTGGAATCTCACAGAATTAGCTCATTGGGGTATTTGATGTATTTTGGGCGCTGCTGCTTCCTGCACCTGCCATTACCTGGTTTATTTATTTAATTACTTATTCACTTTCAAGGCAATGTATTTATCTTTGTTTAATTTAAGTTACAAAGAATAAATTGCCTGCATTAAACATTCTAGAGGGATAAATAAAAAAGTTTCATTTAATAATCAGCTGTTGTACATTATAGTTTTGGAGAATCATCATTACGTTTGACAGAGGGGGTACTAGTGGTATGAAAAAATTGCTCAGGGGGTACACAAGTCTAAAAAGGTTGGGAACCACTGCTCTAACCTAACRTATGCTCCTTCATATTGTGCTGCTGGTACCGTGTTCTTTTCTTTATATTCTTTGTTTTGGGGTCTGTGAACTAGGAGCTGATGGGATTTGTTGTCAAAGAGCTCCAGTTTTGTTTTATTTGTCCAAAGAACATTGTCCCAAAGCTTTGTGGMTTGTCAACATGCATTTTGCCAAATTCCCCTCTTGCTTTATGTACATGTCACAATGCGAAGAGCGGAAGTGGAAAAAATAACTATTTTTCTGTCCCTCTGGTGAGCTGAATAACTTGAAAAATAAGTGAGATACCAATCTCTATTTTGGTCTGTGGCTGCATTTA